TGTATGTATGTGTGTGTATGTCTATGTAAGTGTATGTGTGTGCATGTATGTGTATGTGTATGTATGTGTATGTATGTGTATGTATGTGTATGTATGTATGTATGTATGTATGTATGTAGCTATGTATGTATGTATGTATGTATGTATGTATGTATGTGTGTATGTGTGTATGTATGTATGTATATACACACACTTATGTGTACATCATACGAAACGAAATGGGTGACATAATGACCCTTCTACAAATTCGTCGTAGTGGGATAGCAATCTGTCTTACACCTAGACCCGGGGACCGGGCTCGTTCTCCCTCAAGAGCTCCTGAGGGGTCAAGGCGTTGAGATCCACCTGGCCACTGTGCTCCGTTCTGAGGAACGGCGCCATACACAGAAAACATCACCAACTGTACGGTCTGTCATGCAGATTGGTAAGTGTTGGGGCTGCTGGGTCAGTAGTCGTCGTCGCAGTAGTAGCGGCAGCAGCTGCAGGAGCAGCAGGCTGTAGGAGTAACAGTAGCAGCGCTGGGAGTAGGAGTAGGAGTATGAATAGGAGAAGCATGTAGGAATAGGCGGAGGAATAGGAGCAGTAGCACGAGTAGTAGTAGAAGTAGTAGCAGTAATATCTTTAACCTTTTGGGACGGTGTAAATCCACCTCAAGGCTTTTGAATCTCTTTCCCTTTTACTGAACACACCCTAATAATGCAAACACATTGGACCCAATCATCCCGAAATCATCCCTGCCCTTTAAAACCCATGCAAAGATGCTGCCAAAGCCGGCTTAGAACCCTGTTGGCTGCCTCTGCCAAACAGCGGTCGTCCTCCTCGCGCTTTTCGAGTGTTTGTTGCAGGATGAAGCGCAGCCGAACCTGTGCACTCACGAGGGGTCACAATGTGCATACATGGCTTGAGAGGACGTGACAGAGAGGGATAGAGATAAAACAAACACACCAAAAACAAGTATAATACTTAGGCATACTCATAGCCACATACAACAGATTGTCATGGTGTCAATCCACTCCTGGCCTCCGAATCGAAGTTTCACGACGGTATAGGGTTTGAGTTCTCCTAGCATCAGAATACTAGTTGTGTCTTTGCGATCCGGGCTAGTGCACAAAAAAAACATTGCTTGCTGCAGGTGAGGCTTCAAGCGTGTCGAAGTATAGTTTCCTAACCTCCCCCCGGTCGCCCTCCGACTTTTCAGATCTGTGCTCAGTTTTTGGGTTGCATGGCTGAGGAACCAAGACTCCACAAACTGCAGACGCCACATAAGCTATAAGTTTTTTGGGGTTCAAGGCCTGCAGATGTTATAGCAACCGTGATCAGGTGGCGTTGGGATTCGTGGCTTCTTGTCAACTGAGGTGGAGCCTTTGGCTTCTTTGGACGGTTATAACAACCATCATCGCAGTCAGACTCCACAACTAGGAGAGGCCATTGTCGGCACATGATCCTAAAACGGAGCCGGTGGCACAACACCACCTGAAATTGTTTGAAAGGCTGCATGCACCCTCTCAGCCTCAGGCGATGCCCCCCAGCCCTAGATCGTACACCCCCTCAACTTCAAGCGAAACGTCTGAAACCCAAAAGCAACACGCCTAGACATAAGTCTTTTTTTCCCCTGTAACACACAAGCCCTGAATACCGATGTCCTGTTCTTGGTTCCCCAGTAGCCCCTTCATGATAAGGGAACGCTTCTTCCTGCTCTTTGCTTTTACTAAGCGAACCCAAAAATAGAAAAAGGGCAACCGAGTATTAATGGGGAATCGAGTTTTCACTCCGGGCCACTGCATGCATGGCTCGGGGGAGCAGCAGACCCTCGAACCAGGCACTCCAAGTATAGACGCCCATGACGAGGCCTAGGATTTAGGGTTTACTTGGCATTGGCAGCATTTCAGGGGAGTAGGGGGTTAGGTGTTTTGTCCTCAGAGCTTGGGGGTTTTAAGTCAGTTGTTGCTTTCATTGGAGCGTTAGGATCTTAAGATGCAAGGTGTACGACATCAGTTTAAAAACAAGCGGCGGTACGCGTTTTCTTCTTCGCGATACTGTGCACACGGTTCGATTTCGTCCCTTGGCTTCAAGACCCTGGGTCCTATAGGTCCTAAACCCTCAACCCCACGGTGCACTTGTCCCTTGACGCAGTAGCAACAGTACTCGTCGTGGTCGTAATAGCAAAAGTTGCAGCGGTAGCGGTAGTTGTCGTACTCGGTCGTCGGCGTCGGTATCATAGACGTCGTCGTCGTCGTCGGTATATGTCGGTATCGTAGACGTCGATTCATTATGATCACCATCATCTTCGTCATCGCGAGAGTGGTCCAAGAACCACCCCTATGAGCCCACGATCCTCGCTGCGTCATGCTGACAACACCCTATACATACCAAAACCGGAGCCTTCGCCCGTGCACCCTGCAACGCCATAAACCGGCCGGATCTTCACGTTTGCGGAAGATGCGGCTTGGTGCTTGGACGTTCAAGCTGTGGCTGCACCACAGAAAAACTGCTACCAGGCATCTCGTAGTCTGGACATGTCAATATGCTAGGATTGAGGCTTGCAGATCTATGAGCATCTTCTTCTACCTCTGCACGAAACGGGGGGATGGGGATTCTTGAGGCTCCTCTCAATGCTCAAGGTTGTCAGAAGCAACTTTGCAGGGGAGCATGAACCTCCCTGTTACTATGTTATGATGTACAACTCGGTTACAACCCCTAAGCAATCACCTAAAA